CTTCAATAGACAAACTCTTTCTCAAGATGGATGCCCTTTTGCAAAGATAACTCAAGCATCTAATCTCTTAGGTTGAATGTTATCTAAACAAACATTATGATTTAGTCTACTAACCATCTAAGCTTTCTTAACATCAAATCTCTTTGGTTAAGTAAGTTTAGAGCAATACTAAGTTAATTCAAGCATTTTAACAAACACCTTCCGGACATAAAATAGCTTAAGGTCTAGATGAGAGTGATCAAGTCTAATCTAGCATTAAAAACACTTAGTAAGCATAGAAACAAGTAGATCTAACAATAAACACCTTAACCCTTCACTAATTATCCTAAATCTACCTAACCCATGGATTCAATAATTGTCTACTCAAAAATCTCCATGATAAACCTTAAACCCATATGAGATTCAAGGTTAATCATGATAATGAGAATGAGAAACAAGATATAATATGAAGTACTTCCTTAAAATGATACAAAGATTCAAGCTTTTACAATGAAATACAAAGTTCTAGAGAGAAAATGAGATAATTTAGGGTTTTTGGGGTCTAAAATTATATATAGGAGGTCCAAATTCGTCTTGGTTCAATGGAATTAAACCGGGTCAAACCAGCTTAAACCGGATCAAACCGGTTTAAACCGGTCAACTCTGAGATTTTGACTTCACCGTGGCCACGTACCACCCGCGTCTCGCCTCCGCGGTACTCTCCGGAGCTCACTGCCAAGAAACTGCGGGTCACTCCAAGCCGCGTCACCGGTCCGCGGTCCTCGCCTCAAGTCTCTGCCATGAATCCGCGGTAAGCCCTTGTCCGCAACAACCAGTCCGCGTTCTTCTCCATCACTCCGACGCTGAGTCTGTTTTTCCGGTCTGAACCGTGCTCCAATCTACCGTCAAGCTCACCCCAGTCACTCTCAGCTCTCACGCAGTCCTCTTCGTCAATCTCCATCATAGCTCCAAGTCGGAGCTCTCCTCCACGAAATCCACCATGGAAGCTTAACGCCATCTTTCATAACTCTCTCTCCACGGGATCGAGATCTCAGCTCATCTCCGTCATGTTTTGGGTCGAGCTCGTGCTCCCCCGTCATCGGAAGCGTCGGGATTTACAGCAATGAGAAGCTCGTAAGCTCCAATGGTGGTTTCACAGAATATTGCAAAACAGGTCCTACACGTTTGGATATTTACTCTGTGACCCCAACAGTTTTTGCAACATTGGTCCCTTGGCCTTTGAATTTGACGCATAGACCCAATACTTCCCAGAATTGCATATTTATCCTTAAATTCAGCCTCAAACTTTCAGAATGTGCATCCAGCCCCCTAATGCACACAAATGAACATGTACATGCAATCTAAACACCTAAATGCAACTCAAAACACTAATATGATTAAGAAAAAGATGTTAAAAACTATTAAAAATACTATATATCAATCAATATTCAGTTTCGATTTATAAAAGCCATGTTAACACTGCGATCGACATTGACAACTGAAATTTGTTCATAAGTTTCTTCTTCGTTTAACTAAAGGGAATGGAAAACGGAGACGCTGCAACATAATAATTGAAGTTTTTTGGTGTTACGGGTGTCACCAAAAAAGCTACCCATCATCTTTCAGAGCTCGAATATCATCTCTTAGCTTACGTAGAAGATATTCGTAAAAATGACCATAGATCTGAGTTCAAACAATTTTATATGAATATCTAAATAATAATGTAATAATATTTTCTAAGAAAGTAGTATAAAAATTAAGAAAATATATAAATATATGTATAACTCTTTATATGTTTCAGTTTTTTTTTGATAAATGGTATAATATATAATATATAATTACAAAGCATGCGTATTTCCTTTTTGTAACACAACTCACGTGTGTACGTGAGACATATACGTACTTTTTTTTATCAGCTAAACTTTCTTTAGCTAAAAAAAAACGTTATCAGTCAAATTTGATTAGACTATGTTAATTTTTTTTGTCATTTGTGGATTATCGGTAATCACTGAACAAATTACCACAACAACAAAAAAGGTTCGAAGGCCAAGTGATGCATAATATAATCGGAGCCGGAAGCCAGAACTCGGACAAACTCCGGATTAATAAACGCACAACTACGATTTACAAGACTACACCTAATAAAACCAATAAGCAAAACAGACTTCACCGAAGTCCATATCCAACGCCAAAGAAAACTCAAATGAGTGAGCTCTTAGACAATCGAGCAGCCAGAAATCTATTAACTTTTTTTTTTAATAGGAAGAGGTTCGCGAGCGAAGCCTGTAATCCTCCCAGATCCGGAATCACAATATATAATATTAGTTTTGAGTCTTCAACGGTCACTTGAATTAGAGACCTCTAACACGATGATCAAAATCTTTTCCAATTGAGATAGTAAATTCTGGTCCTGTTGTGGCTTTAGCTATCGAAATTTACATGAACCAACATCTACATCTTGACAAAAAGTTTGAACTTTGAATCACAGTACTCTCAATCTCTATAATATTATTTGAAAAGTCAGTTTCCTACGTGTCGCGATCACGTTAACTCTCGTGATGGTTGATTACATAGATACCCTTAATGAATTGTTAAATTTTAAGATTATTATTAATTTTTTCTTATGTAATTTCTTTTTTACCTTTTTCCAAATAACATATATAATAAAAAGGAAATATTTCTAAAATTTTAAAACAATTTTAAAAACAAAATTATATCTATATAATATGACTTTCTTAAAAAGAAAAGTTCACAAAATATTAATACCTCTATTAATATATATTTTTAAATAACATAAAATATATTTTCAAAATAATAAAAATATATATGTTCATGAACATCCAAAAATTTATCAGTTACACTTTATTTCTAATATTTTTTAGAAATCAACATATAATTTGATAAATATTATGAAAATATAATTTGATCTGACTTAACTAAAATAAAGAGTAAATAAATATTATGAAAATACATGTATATTTAAGCGCTACATAAAACTAATTTGATTTGACTTAACTAAAATAAAAAGTAATTATACTTCAATTTTAATTTAAAAATATATTTCACTCAATATACTCACAAAATGAATGACTCGACTAATCTAATTTATATCCAAAATTAAACATCTAACTACAATAAGAATATATAATTTATTATAATAATATATTTAATTTTATACATATAAATAAGAGGTTGACACAAATCATATTACAAAGAAAAAGAAAATATTAACCAATTACAATTTAATTCTTTTGTAGAATTTATATATATGCATGAGACTTCAAAATATTATCATTATATTCATTTATGTAATTTTAAATAAAACACTTCAGCTTATTATTTATTTCATATTAAGCACAATATCTATTAAGTTATACATAATTTAACCATAGTATATTCACATATCTAAGAATATATTTACATATCTAAGAAAATAAACAACCGAAATGAAAATAAGAAAATTAATCAACGTTTTAATATATTTAGAATAAAAAATATTATAGTTGAACTTGAAAAATAGATATTATCCAATATATCAAATTGATAACCAAACCGACTATTGGTCAAAAAAAATAATTAAATTGACAATAATATATCCAAAGTCCTATGTATAATTAGAATAATATAATATTTATTAATATAAATTATATATATATATATATATATATATATATATATTGATTCAAAACTAAAACTAAATATCAATCAATTATTATAAAATTTTACTTTTATGAATATTCAATCCGTGCATGAGCACGGGAAAATCACCCAATAAACAATTCAATAAGAAGATCGAAAAATTTAATAGTTGCAATTTTGGAAAGATAACGTTTTTTCTACGACTAATTAATATTCAAGGTATAATTGTATGGAAAGAAATTGGCTCTTGGCGTTTTTTTAATTAATTGTTAAAGATTTGTTTGACCCATTAAAGACTATATAAGGAGCATGCAAAAACTTCTTCAAAAATATCTTTAAACAACCAAAAAAGCAGAAAATAATATACGTATCTAACGAAAATGATGAATATCAAGAGACTTTCACATTTTTATGGGACATCGTTCCTTATGATATCAACTATTCTTTTCCTTTTCATCTCACGTAAGTCATTTATATACATTTAAATACAAAACTGAGTTTTAGTAATAATAATATATGATATACATTTTGATCAGTGACAGGACAAGTGAGTTCGTCGAGCGACGACGAGAACGAACTATGTAACTTTGTGAATGCATGTTCTGGTTGCAAAGCATTTTGCAAAGCCAAAAATAGTTATGTAAGAGAATGTGTAGATGGAGGTCCCGATCTTCAGATTTGTTGTTGCACAAAAAATCCTCCCCGCGTCGTCATACGTTAATCTCGTGGAACATGTTTTTGTTTTGTAATATATCCTATCAGATTTGGTTGACATGTCTTTATACGTTCGACGAAAAAACTCAAAAAATAAAAGTTATTTCATCATATTTCATAGATATAATAATTTTACATGCATAAAAGTGAATTGCAACATTTGTACCAAAAAGAGAAGTGAATTGCCATAGAAAATGAGTCAAATCCAATGTTATTTACTTTAAATATTGCAATAACGTTATAATTTATTTCTAGATTCACGTTATGAATTATCTTGACAATCAACTAATGCGTCCAATTTTGGTATGATAAGATAATTTACCTAAATAAATATGTATTAGTTTCTTTATAAGCTGATTGTTCAAACAAGTTGAAAAACAAATTTAACATTCGTGTACTCTGTTTCTTTTGTAAATATAGAGAGAAAGTTGCTCATCATGATTGTTGATAATAATAGGTAACTTGTTCAGTTTTGTGTCAAATATGTATAGAGGAAAAATGGTGACAACAATGTTACAATGATAATATTGTTTTGTGTTGTTTGCTACTCTGATCCGTCATACCATCTAGAACGATTGGGGATTCTCTCACTACCCAATATTTTCTGAGTATGAAAAATACATCTCTCGACAGTTACTAGTTACCATTTCTTAAATCCACCATATATATATATATTCGATCAGAAAACTATAACTTTTTTTTTTTAGAAAACTATAACATAGCAATGAAGAAATATAAATAATCGGAATCCATTTTACTCAGTAGTCTAGTCCATTTGTAAAAAAAGAAATAAAAGCATCCATCTCACACTTCTTTAAAGAGACACCAATCTCGACGCCACCAGTTCCATCCCTCCTTGCCGACATAGAGATCTGATTGTTCCCATAAATGGACATAATCTCTGTATTAACGGGTCTTCCCCACCCGAAATCTGACCCATATATCCCAAACTGGTTAGACCCGGTAACCGATAACACCTGCGTACCCACCTTGAAATTCTTTTTTCCTTCCTCGTACTGCTCCCATATTGACTCAACCCCTCGTGAACTGCAACCTTTGACCGAATCGCTTAGAATCTTGACGCCATTAACGAATCCATCTTCTCCCAAAAACATCTCCGCCTTATATTCATCTAAAACGATGGACACGACACAGTTTCCAAAGTAGGTCTCAGGAACCGGGGGGTCTAACCGGTTTCTGAAATCAGCAACGTACCTAAACCGAACCGGTCGGTCTGGTTCGCCTCCACGTGCCTTCACCATGCAGGTCCATACATACGCGAACGTGACTACGAACGTTGACAAGTGAAGATCAGAGCACGTTGACTCGTTCTTGGCTTTCTCCTTAAGTTCTTCGACGTTCTCTTGACTCAGATCTAGCGTGATCCGGACGACGTCGTCGAACTCTTTCAAGAGAGGCAGTTTTAAGCTTCTTGCGTTACCTTTGTCGAGATACGACATAAGGTCGAGGATCTTTGGTTCAAGTCCAGGTGGAACGTTGATGATGGAACGATCTAAAAGCGTAGGTAAATTAAAATCTTGGGGTATGGTTCCATATTTACAGATATGAGCCCATGATTTGTGAAACTTTGCTCCCGTTTGTCCGTCCATGACGGCATGGTGGACGGTGGTTCCTATGCAGAAGCCTTGGCTCGGGAACAGAGTGATCTGGCAGGGAAAGGACAGGCGCCGAGTCAGAGGAAACTGGTAACTTGGCCACCAAAGCGCGTAACTCAGCCTCGGGACGAAGCCCTTTGCCGGATATACGAGAGAAATCAGCGGTACACTCGGCCACGGTGAGAGACACAATGTCTTGAGGTAAGACAACGATGTGTGGCTTAGGATCTTGTGGGTTCCACTCGAGGTGATTTGAGAGATCTTGATCACGTTTAACGCCATCTTCTCACTTGAACTCTATAGCAGACACACTTTTGATGGCAACACCTCTATTTTAACCCGTAGATTAGTGTTTGATATGCCAGATTAATCAAGCTTTTTTTACTAATAAGTAATTAGAAAATGGAGTGTGAAATATAATATATACTTTTGGTAGGTAAAAAGGCGTTTGGTGGGTACAGCCACTCCGTATTTAAAAGCGAAAATTACATAAAATAGTTAACCAATAAGAACGACATCTCATGAACGGCAAAGCTCATCCTTATAAATTTATAATCACGTCATTGTGTGAGCCCAATAGAGAGATTACCGATGGTACTTATCATTCATCAGTCATCGATATAGTTTATCTGTATAAAGCAAATTCTTCATAATTCATACCCTTCATTCCAGCATCAAATGCAATGTTCTAACGTTTTTATAAATACTATTAATGTATTCAGTTGCCAAGATTTATATAATACTGAACAACAGGAACTAAATTTGTGTATTTCAGAATAATTGTTGTGTGTTTCAGAATAATTGTTGTGTGTTTCAGATGCACACAAACTGGATCAGTTACAATATACTATTAGCTGAAACCTTTGTGAATCTGTTGAACCAATTCCTTTACGGTTTAAAGTTGATGTTTAAGCAAGAAACTCTTCGAAATTTTGTTCTTGGTATTCTCTAACGTCTCCCGTTTCTAGGTTATTGTTCCATTTTTAATAAGGATCTGTGTCTCTCTCAATCTTTTAAAACCATATAGTATATATTTGTAAAAACTCATATGTAGTAGTAACTCACATTCCGCATAAGACTTGATCCAAGTTGACCTAACGTGCCATTGTTTCCTGGTTTTATCTGACAATCGTCTTAAAGCAAAAATTCGGAGATTTACTCGTCTTTCTTTCTGTCCTCTGCATCCTGTTTTTTGTTCTTTCTGATAATTGTTTCAAAGCTATGAAATTACTTGAACTGCATAAACATGAATCAGTTTCTTGCTCTACAAGTCACTTGGGAATTTGCTATGTTCTTAATCTGCTCTGTTGTTGTTCTGAAAATTGTTTTAGCCTATACCTGAAACTTTAAATACATGGTATAGAAATGGTTATAGTGAAAACACACATATCCAAAAGGTGAATCCATTTTTCCATTTTTTTTAATGAAACCATTATTCCATTAACCTTAGGAGACTCCAAGAGTCTCTTACATGATACTAAAAATAACCAATAATTAATATTAGATGTTTGCATACATCAAAATTTTAAAGGGGAAGGAGCAGGAGAAGAACCGCCAGGATTTGGAGACTCACAGATGTCACGAAGGACGTTGGTTTCCTCAGACGTAAAGCCAAGAGAAGTTAACATCGACGGCCAACAATCTCTGGTGATGACGTCAACGGCGTGACAGCAACCGGCGCCAAGTTTGGTCTCCCCGTTGAGGAAGAAGAGAACGATTTCGTTGGTGCATGATTTGAGCTCGTAGAGAGCATCCCAACACTCCATTAGTCCTCCTCCGTTAAGCCTCGCCGCTATGTTGGAGGGATCTACCGTCGCCTCCGGGATTTTCCTGCCTGAGATGTTGAGGGCGAGGAGGAGAGCTGTGGTGGCGAAGAGGAAAAAACATGTGTTAGAAGCCATTGTTCTCTTTTTTTTTGGGATTTGTATTTGTGGTGATGGTTGGGTTATGAGAGTTCTGTGTGTGTTTATAGTGGTGATTTACGAGTACTCATGAGTTATGAGGAATGTGAAAGGGTTAACGCTATATGATTTTACTTAATGTTTATGAGTTTACTTATATTTATAGCAGTGTTACTGAAACAGTGAAACGTATGTAACATTGGTTTGGTGAGTAAGTGGAAACGAAGGGTTATTCTAAGAAAATATTGATAGGTCTTATACAAATTTTATGTATAAATAAAATTGTGTAGAATACGACATCAACAAAGTGGCTGTAGTTTAGTGGTGAGAATTCCACGTTGTGGCCGTGGAGACCTGGGCTCGAATCCCAGCAGCCACACTTTTTGCTTTTTTTTTTTTTTTTTTTTTTTTTTTTTTTTTTTTT